GAAAGGGCCGAAAAGTTGCGATTGATCTTTACCACCGCTGAATTTTAGTAATGGACTTGCCCAGCTTTGAATTTGGAACTTTACATTGTCAATTTAAGGGATTTTTTCATCCTAATTAAAGTAACGTGAATAAAGTGCATGCTTGATTGGCATCTTGCTTTCCCATTGGAGTAGATATGTAATTTTCCCGACAAACATTGAGTACATTTGTACGTGTTTTCTTAATTTAGTGAGTTTTCTGGTAAAATGAAATTTTGAAATTTCATAGGACATATTATATTAAAAAGAGAGTAATGCCACAGAAAAAAAGTTATTGGTCAATATTCCCTGTGAAAGAAGTACTCAGTGAGTTGTGTGCGTCCATTGTGATTGTAGTAGTACTCAGTAAGTAATGATAACTGTGATAATTTTACTTCGTGAGTAATGTTCACTGTGATAGAAGTACTCAGCGAGTCATGTTCATTGTGAGAATAGTACTCATTGAGTAATATTCACTTTGATTGTAGTACTTAGCGAGTAATGACAACTTTGATTGTAGAACTTAGTGAGTAATGTTCACTTTGAGTGTTGTATTTAGTGAGTAATATTCACTTTGATTGTAGTACTTAGTGAGTAATATTCACTTTGATTGTAGTACTTAGTGAGTAATGTTCACTTTGATTGTAGTACTTAGTGAGTAATGTTCACTTTGATTGTAGTACTTAGTGAGTAATGTTCACTTTGATTGTAGTACTTAGTGAGTAATGTTCACTTTGATTGTAGTACTTAGTGAGTGATGTCACTTTTATTATTGTACTTAGAGAGTAATGTTCACTTTGTTGTACTTAGTGAGTTATGTTAACTTTGATTGTAGTACTTAGTGAGCTATATTCACTTTGATTGTAGTACATAGTGAGTAATGTTTATTTTGATTGTAGTACTTAGTGAGTAATGTTCACTTTGATTGTAGAACTTAGTGAGTAATGTTCACTTTGTTCACTTTTATTGTTGTACTTAGTGAGTAATGTCCACTTTGATTGAAGTACTAAGTGAGTGATGTCATTTTTATTATTGTACTTAGTGAGTAATGTTCACTTTGATTGAAGTACTAAGTGAGTGATGTCACTTTTATTATTGTACTTAGTTAGTAATGCTCACTTTAATTGTAGTTCTTAGTAAGTAATGACCACTTTGATTGTAGAACTTAGTGAGTTATGTTCACTTTGATTGTTGTACTTAGTGAGTAATGTTCACTTTGATTGTAGTACCTTGTGAGTAATGTTCACTTTGATTGTTGTACTTAGTGAGTAATGTCCACTTTGATTGAAGTAGTAAGTGAGTGATGTCACTTTTATTATTGTACTTAGTGAGTAATGTTCACTTTGATTGAAGTACTAAGTGAGTGATGTCACTTTTATTATTGTACTTAGTTAGTAATGCTCACTTTAATTGTAGTTCTTAGTGAGTAATGACAACTTTGATTGTAGAACGTAGTGAGTAATGTTCACTTTGATTGTTGTACTTAGTGAGTAATGTTCACTTTGAATGTAGTACCTAGTGAGTAATGTTCACTTTGATTGTTGTTCCTAGTGAGTAATGTCCACTTTGATTGAAGTAGTAAGTGAGTGATGTTCATTTTGATTGTAATACTTAATAAGTAATGTTCACTTTGATTGTAGTACTTAGTGAGTAATGTTCAGTTTGATTGAAGTTCTTAGTGAGTGATGTCACTTTTATTATGCTCCCCGAAAAATTTCGGGGGAGCATATAGTCGGCGCCTTGTCTGTCTGTCCGTCCGTCCGTCTGTCAGTCCGTTTTCTTGTCCGGAGCATAACTTGAAAACTCTTGGAGATAATTTGTTTAAACTTCATACAGTGGTAGAGGGCATTGAGGGGGAGTGCAGTGTCAAAGAACCATACCTCTATTTTGTCCGGTTTTTGAATTATCTCCCCTTAAAAAATAACTTGTCCGGGGCATAACTCTAAAACTATAAGAGATATCAACATGAAACTTTGTAGGTGAATAGATCTCAATGGGTAGATGTGCAGTGCATAAGAACAATAACTCTTTTTGTCCTAATTTTGGAGTTATTGCCCTTTGTTAATTTCAACATTTTGAACTTTGTCCAGAACATAACTCTTAAACTATAAGAGATATCAAGATGAAACATTGTAGGTAGATAGATCTCATTGAGTAGAAGTGCAGTGCAAAAGAACCATAACTCTGTTAAGCCTCATTTTTGAATTATCTCCCCTTATAGAAAAATCTTGTCCGGGGCATAACTCTAAAACTATAAGAGATATCAACATGAAACTTTGTAGGTGAATAGATCTCAATGGGTAGATGTGCAGTGTCAAAGAACCATAACTCTATTTTGCCGGGTTTTTGAATTATCTCCCCTTATAGAAAAATCTTGTCCGGGGCATAACTCTAAAACTATAAGAGATATCAACATGAAACTTTGTAGGTGAATAGATCTCAATGGGTAGATGTGCAGTGCATAAGAACAATAACTCTTTTTGTCCTAATTTTGGAGTTATTGCCCTTAGTTAATTTTAACAGTGAACTTTGTCCGGAACATAACTCTAAAATTATAAGAGATATCAAGATGAAACATTGTAGGTAGATAGATCTCATTGAGTAGAAGTGCAGTGCAAAAGAAACATTACTCTGTTAAGCCTCATTTTTGAATTATCTCCCCTTTAAGAAAAATCTTGTACTGGACATAGCTGTAAAACTATAAGAGATATCAACATGAAACTTTGTAGGTAGATGTATCTCAATGGGTAGATGTGCAGTGCATGAGAATCATAACTCTGTTTTGCCTAATTCTGGAGTTTTTGCCCTTTGTTTATTTTTACTTTTTGAAGTTGTCCGGAACATAACAAGAAACTTGGTAAGTTGATAGATAACAGTCATTAGAAGTGCAGTGCAAAGAACAGTAACTCTGCCTTTCCTAATTTTGGAATTATTGCACTTTGAACTTTTTCCATGGACATAACTCTGAAACTACAAGAGGTGTACTTTCCTGTGTCCAAAACCTATTCGGGGAGCATCACCCGGCTCAAACCGGGCTCTTGTTATTGAACTTAGTGAGTAATGTTCACTTTAATTCAAGTACTAAGTGAGTGATGCCACTTTTATTAGCTCACCTGAGCACATGCTGAGGGTGAGCTTTTAGGATCACTCTTCGTCCGTCGTCTGTTGTCCGTCGTACGTCGTCCGTCGTACGTCGTCCGTCGTACGACGTCCGTTGTCCGTTCACACTTTTAAAACGAAATCTCCTCTGAAACCATAAGGCAGATCATAATGAAACTTCACAGGGATGTTCCTTGTGTGAAGCCTTAACAAAGTCCTTCAAAGAATTCCATTCCATGCAGAACTCTGGTTGCCATGGCAATCGAAAGAAAAAAACTTTAAATATCTTCTTTTAAAGAACCCAAAGAGCTAGAGCTAATATATTAAGCATGAAACATCTTCTAGTGAGTGTCTACCAAGTTTGTTCAAATAAAAGCCCTGGGGTCAAAATTGGCCCCGCCCCAGGGGGTCATTGATTTTCCCTATATACATATAGTAAAAACTTAAAAAATCTTCTTTTAAAGAACCCAAAGAGCTAGAGCTACGATATTTAGCATGAAACATCTTCTAATGGGTGTCTACATAGTTAGTTCAACTAAAAGCCCTGGGGTCAAAATTGGCCCGGCCCCAGAGGGTCATTGATTTTCCTTATGTGTGTATAGTAAAAACTTAAAAAATCTTCTTTTAAAGAACCCAAAGAGCTAGAGCTAAGATATTTAGCATGAAAGATGCTCTAATGGGTGTCTACCAAGTTTGTTCATATAAAAGCCCTTGGGTTAAAATTGGCCCTGCCAGGGGGGGGGGGAGGGGGTAAGAGGGCAGAGGTCTTTTTTTTTCATTATATGTGTGTAGTAAAAACTTAACATCATGAAACATCTTCTAATGGATGTCTTCCAAGTTTGTTCAAATAAAAGCCCTGGGGTTTAAACTGGCCCGCTCCTGGGGCCTATATACAGGTGAGCGACCTCATGGCCATCATGGCCCTCTTGTTATTGTACTAAGTGAGCTTTGTTCACTTTGAATGTAGTACTTAGTGAGTAAATTTCACTTTGATTGTTGTTATTAGTGAGGAATAATCACTTTGATTGTAGTACATAGTGAATAATGTTCATTTTGTTTGTAGTGCTTAGTGAGTAATGTTCACTATTATTGTAGTAGTTAGTGAGTAATGTTTACTTCGTTCACTTTTATTGTAGTACTAAGTGAGTAATGTTCACTTTGATAAGTGAGTTATGTTCATTTTGATTGTAGAACTAATTGAGTAATGTTCACTATGATTGTCGTTCTTAGTGGGTAATGTTCATTTTGATTGTAGTACTTAGTGAGTGATGTCACTTTTATTATTGTACTTAGTGAGTAATGTTCACTTTGATTGTTGTACTTAGTGAGTAATGTTCACTTTGATTGTTGTACTTAGTGAGTAATGTTCACTTTGATTATTGTACTTAGTGAGTTATGTTCACTTTGATTTTAGTACATAGTGAATCATGTTCATTTTAATTGTAGTAGCAAGTGAGTAATGATCACCATGAGTGTAGTACTTAGTGAGTAATGTTCACTTTGATTGAAGTACGACATTGTACGAAAGTGAGTTATGTTCACTTTGTAGTAGTTACTAGTTAGCGAGTTCACTGTGATTGTGGTACTGAGTAATTAATATTTTTTGTGATTGTTATACTCAGTGATCAAAACTCGGTGTGTAATGCTCTGTGAGTAGTGTTTTCCGTGAGAAATGATCAGTGAAATATGTTCTAACACGGAATGAGTCCGAGGATGTTGTTGTTTGCAATTACTGAATTGTGATTATGTAAATCTTGCAGCAGATACAAAATAACGAAAATAACATGAAGACCCCTCCAATTTTATGTTTCATACAAGTATTGCATTATATTAGCTATCCAAATAGAGTTGGAACTTCAAGTTAATTATTTTTACATTTCCAGACGCGTAACACGCTGTCAATCATCCAAAAGGAGTTAGAAGAAGCAAAAAGAGAAATTGAAGCAAAAGTAAACGCCTGTCAAAATGGCGAAAACATTTCTGCTAAAGACAAACAAAGTAATGACAAAATTTTTAACATACGAACAAGTGAAACGGAACCAAAAGAGCCATTCAGACATCAGCAAGATGACGGCTCGAGACCGGCAAGCAAATCTGAGAAGGTGTACGCGCGTTACGTGCAAGAAGGGGATAGGAATCTCATGTTAATTTATGAACCCAAAGAAACTAAATCAGAGATTTATGTGAAACAAATCGGGAACAAAAATGTAATGGTGCATCTGAACATTAGCTCAAACGTTTGCCAGTTAATTGATACAGCTAACAAGGGGGTTATTCCACTTGACAGTGAGGGAGAAGGTTTGTTAAACAATTATTATTCTTGTAATCACGTGCATCTTTATTATTTATTTATTTATTTATTATTATGATGATGATGATCATCATCATCATCACCATTATTATTATTATTATTATTATTATTATTATTATTATTATTATTTTCTACGTTGCACCAACTTATTATATGTCATAATTATGGCGACTTTCCAGTTCCATTGCAAGTACCAACATTATTGGTTCTTTTGTTCTGCTATTTGATCTTCATCATCGTTAATCTTTTAACTTTTAATTGTTACCGATTATTATCATAATGAGTCGCAAGTCATATTATTTTGATCCTTGAACATGTCGATAAATCATTTTGCACTGTTCATGTCTCTTTTTTATCGTCATAGTTTGGTTAGAGATTAAACGCCGAAGCCAGCTGAAGAAAGAAGCAGACGTTCAAACGGACGAGGCGTCAATTGCGAACAGTGTTTTCGAAAACTGCAGTTTACGTAACGGATTAATAAAGCGGGAGAATGAATATGTTTCATCATTTTCCCCAAAGTGTAGCTACGTAGAGGGTAAAGTCGGACGACGTCACCCAGCTGAACACGACGATGTTGCTGAAGAAAATGAAGACGACGGACCGTATGAACCTTATGAAACAATTTGTGTAAGAGAACGTGGAAACTCTTTAATGATAAAATTTGAAAAGTGGAATCATCACGGTGTCCTGAAACCTGAAAATTTAAAGGAGTCCCCAATTCTTAGCCACGAAAAGGTTTTAAAATTTTTGGAAAACGAAGGCAACAACTTTGAAATGAATATTTGTGATTGGGAGTACGAAAAGGAACAGTCAGTTTACAGTTACATATCTTCAAACTTCAAACAAGGTATTCACTTATGAACTCTCATTAAAGCAATATGTTCGTATTTATATCCCCGAAAAAGGGTTAGGGAGCAATCACAACTGTCTGTTTGTTCGTCCGTTCTACTTAGTTACTGAAATTCAAACATATATTACTCTCATTTAATGACCAATATATTAGATACTTTATTTAGGTCATTAAATTGACCTTCATAATTATTTGAATGGTCGATGGGATTAAGGTCAAGGACACTGAGACTAAAAATAGAATTGTTTACTTTTCTTCATAGTTTGATAATGTTTTAACTATTGGTATCCAGGAAGTTGCTGTCACCGATATTATTGGTTCTATTGTTCTCACGTTTGATCAACTTTTAATAATTATTGTTACCGATTACACACGTTTTGTTCAGTTGATTCAAATTGTGACACTACAGTATCGAGTCATCAGAAAGAATAGTTAAACTCAATTGAAGTCTTAAAAGAATCTATAGCACTTTTTCAACGTCATCTTAGACGGAACTCTGACGTAACGAAAATAATTTGATATTAAGCAATGCGCTGGCTTTGTCGGCATGACAGCTCTTTTTTAGGGCAATCTTTTTTTCATAATGTCTCTGGTTACTGTACATTTAGTTTCTCATTGACCTCCGTACAGTGACCTACTTTTGGCTCAAAATTCATATCTTTGGCTAAAACTCCGTGGAAATTGCATGGAGAAAAAATTATAACCACTTTGTGCTTTAAAATAAACCCTTTTAGAGCATGACTGGTGACATGTCCGGGGTCTGTACTCGACAGCGAAAGCTGCTTTTGTGTCTGAAACGGCGGATGGAACCTCATTAAGCATAGACTTTATCATCAGGCGTTTTTAGCAATCATTAATTCCTTCGTCTTCATCTACATTTTTGTCGTCTGCTATTTAAACAGCTGAAGGTAGAGAAAGCAACGACCCCTATGATAAAATCATAACAGAACGTCCTCTTAGAGAACCAGTAGAATACGGGGCATCGACGCCAGGGGACAGTGATTATGACAGTCCCATAGATCACGTGACAAAAGTGGACGAGAGTTGTATGTTATTGAATATCCATACGTATATTAAAAACCATTTTTTTTTCGTTGAATTACAGGTGACTAGTTTTGTTTTGTTTTGTGTATTTATTTATTTTGTTTAACCGATGTTAAGTTTTATTTTACCTGGCTTGAAATAATTTATTGTGCTCTGTACATAATTTCAACTAAAGTTGAAAAATTTGAACAATCAATCTCAGTTAGTTTGAGCGGCAATTTTAATTTACGGTTAGGTAGGACATTGCCAATCTGAACATCTATATCATCCCCATATTAATCGTAGCTTAAGAAGAAGAAAAACATAGTAATTAACTATTATAAGAGTCGTCTTTATCATTCATGATTTTTGGTTCTTTGTTTTTCTTTTTAACTTTAGGCCCAGAAGAAATTTATTCAAGGGTAAACAAGGTTAAATCATTTGACTCTCAGTCCAACAACAAAGTAAATGTTTTAATACAAAGGTCAGTGTCCGACCCTGCAAAACCGAGTCCAGATGTTAAGGATTTGAAGCTTGGCTCTAGAACTAGTGATCCCGAAAATTACACGCAGAATGCACCGGATGTACCATATAGACCTCCGAAACCTTTCCCTAAACCAGGTATCAGGTTTCAACCTTCTCTTTTCTAAATCCACTTGCTTGCATTGTAAATACCGCTAAGACCGGTGTACACAATGACTTGCTTGTACAATAATGCTGTACATAATGTTTATGGCGACGGCTGTCGAATCTTTCTGACGGATTTACGGGATCTGTTAAGCAAAATAAATTGACGTCTTGAGCAAATACTAAGAAACATTTTGTTTTTGGCCATATACTTGGTTATGAAATAACATTATATCTCGATTCGGACAACAATTTGTTAGATTAGGGGCCAGGTTTATTATATACTGTCTTTATTTTTTTGTCACTCTGAAAATTATATTGGCATAGCTTAATTATTGCATTGTAGGTCTACGTGCGATGTTAAATATGAAATCTAAATGGCATACCCACATCGTTTATATTAATGAAGTGTGTCCTACTGTGACTTCATGTGGTAAAATCCCTGCACTACGAGTTTGACTTATCTTCTGCTATTTTGGCGCCAAAACGGCACCGTCGTCATTGAAAATCCGTTATTGACAGATGGATGGTAAAAATATGGCTAATTTTCCGGTTATCCCCTGCAAACCCTTGTGGTTTAGGAAGAAAAGACAGGGGTTATAAATGATCGGTTCATGGTCGTATAATACTACCATTGTCCTAGAAGATTAATTACTAAATTGCTTAATAAATATGTATTTTTCAACAAGAAAAGAACATTAACATGCTACAATTTAATATTCCACGCTTATTATTACAGATGATTTGAGTAAACATAAATGGTACCATGGAAACATAGAAAAACATGTGGCTAAAGAGAGATTAAGGGGGGAAGAGGTTAGATTTTTTTTATAAAATTCATTTGTATTTGACTTGGTCTGACTTTTTTTTTTAATTTAAACTAATTAAAAGATGTTGTAATTTTAATAAGGGATTTTCCAGTGAAAATAAATGAAATTGAACAGCCAGCAGTAAAAGGCGCGCATGAATGCAGTATACATGTGAAATCTTTAAAACAAATTATTACTGCTGCTGCCACCCAAAGGGTAAAACCTTCTCTTCTGTTTTACACCGAGTAATAATAAACACATTTGTATAATGTATATACAATACAGTAGTCCTTTTTGTCTAGTTCTTTATTATTCCTTCTGTCGAAGCTCTTAACAAGTTTAGGAACCATAAGGGGCCACTTTTGTGAAGTAATTAAATTTAATAAAAGTACCATTTAAAAAGAAGCCTTTTCCGTCTCAGCATCAACTTCTCAGTACTATATACTAGCTAATACTGTAATTATCAAATTATTGAATGAAATATTGAATGCATGGTAAGAGTTCATTTTAAATGTTAAATGTAATTAATATCATTTTAGCATGGGAGTTTCCTGGTGCGGGACTCCTCAAGCAGCAAAGATTCCGCCCATCAGTACACCATCGAGTTTATTGACGGAAACGCCGTGAAAAAATTGATGATCATGAAAACGAATAACAAATTTCATTTTTATGAATACGAAGACAAGGTAAATTTTACACTAGTCATTTGCATTTGAAATACATATGTAATCCATTCCGTTACTGCAAGAATATCAGTTACCCCAACTTCTTTGACATTTGTGTGAAAGCACTGTTGAAATATTTACATTTGGAATTGTATTTGTTTAATTCCTAAATATCCTTACTGATTGGGTGAGAATTACCTCCCTTGATCATTAAGTCTCGTGTTCAAGTAAGTTGATATGGCTTTTAAGAAAGAGCTCAAATCAGATCAGCTGGACTCCATACCGGCGGCATAAGCTTTTCATTATAGAGAAAGATAAAGGGCAAAGGTCAAGGTTTGAATGTGCTCATAAACTCATAATATTAAAACTTATACATGTTAAGTCAGATGGCTAACAGTATGATATCTGGCAAGTTATTGGCACTCGATCAAGCTTTTAGCATTTAAAGAATAACTAGGAATAAAGTTAGACCTGTGCTGGAGAACATCTCCAAGAAAAGATCACACTTTAGATAAATGCCACTCCTTGACCTGCTTTCATTATTTAATAAGAACAGTTTATAACCTCAAATATTAAGCACTTGTCTAAAAAGGTCATGTTTGGTTTCTGCTTTGGATGGCTTTTGTTCACAGATTTGGCTGTATAGTAATTTGCTGGATTCGTTTTTTAGCTCACCTGTCACAAAGTGATAGGGTGAGCTTTTGTGATCGCTTTTCGTCCTGCGTCCATCCGTCCGTAAACTTTTGCTTTAAATGACATCTCCTCATAAACCACTGAGCCAATTTCATCCAAACTTTACAGGAATGTTCCTTTGGTGGTCACCTTTAAAAATTGTTCAAAGAATTTAATTCCATGCAGAACTCTGATTGCCATGGCAACCGAAAGAAAAATCTTTAATATCTTCTTTTAAACAACCCTAAGAGCTAGAGCTTAGATATTTGGCATGAAACATCTTCTAGTGAGTGTCTACCAAGTTTGTTCAAATAAAAGCCCTGTGGTCAAAATTGGCCCCGCCCCAGGGGGTCATTGATTTTCCCTATATGCATATAGTAAAAACTAAATAAAAAAAATCTTCTTTTAAAGAACCCAAAGAGCTAGAGCTAAGATATTTGGCATGAAACATCTTCTAATGAGTGTCTACCAAGTTTGTTCAAATAAAAGCCCTGGGTTCAAAATTGGCCCCGCCCCAGGGGGGTCATTGATTTTCCCTATATGCATATAGTAAAAACTTAAAAAATCTTCTTTTAAAGAACCCAAAGAGCTAGAGCTAAGATATTTGGCATTTTTCATTTTCTAGTGAGTGTCTACCAAGTTTGTTCAAATAAAAGACCTGGGTTCAAAATTGGCCCCGCCCCAGGGGAGTCATAGATTTTCCCTATATGCATATAGTAAAAACTTAAAAAATCTTCTTTTAAAGAACCCAAAGAGCTAGAGCTAAGATATTTGGCATTTTACATCTTCTAGTGAGTGTCTACCAAGTTTGTTCAAATAAAAGACTTGGGGTCAAAATTGGCCCCGCCCCAGGGGGTCATTGATTTTCCCATTATGCATATTGTAAAACTTAAACAATCTTCTTTTAAAGAACCCAAAGAGCTAGAGCTAAGATATTTATCATGAAACATGTTCTAATGGGTGTCTACCAAATTTGTTCAAATAAAAGCCCCAGGGTCAAAATTGGCCCTGCCCCGGGGGTCATTGATTTTCCTTTTTTGTGTATAGCAAAAACTTAAAAATCTTCTTTGAAAAAACCCAAATAGCTAGAGTTTAGAGATTAAGCATGAAACATCTTTTAGTAAATATCTACAAAGTTTGTTCAAATAAAATCCCGGGGTCAAAACTGGCCCTGTCCCAGGGGTGTCATTGTTTTAACTATATGTGTATAGTAAAAACTTAAAAAATCTTCTTTTAAAAAAACCAATGAGCTAGAACTTAGATGTTTAGCATGAAACATGTTCTTATGGGTGTCTACCAAGTCTGTTCAAATAAACAAATAAAAGCCCTTGGGTAAAAATTGGCCCGAGGGGGTGGAGGGGAGCTATAATTGTACAGGTGAGCGACCTCAGGGCCATCATGGCCCTCTTGTTTTTATTTGTGATTTTTATTTTTCAGAAATTTAAACTTTTGGTTATTTGTGATTTTTATTTTTTCAGAAATTTGACCTCGTGGAACATCTGATAAATACAATAATGACAAGTGGGTTGGAGGTCAAAGACAGCAGGTGTGACTGGAAAAATATCAAAGTGAAACCAGTGCCACACCCTTAATAATTATGGTGGATCAACACTTGTTTCTCCAACAATTACCAGCTATGGTGGTGTATAAATTATTCATTGGATTAAGAAGAGCTTCAGATTACTCCCTTAACTTAAAGTTATTTTTCCACAAGAAAAACACCTTTGTTAATTTTGCTTGGATTTAATAAGTGCATTTTACTTTACATACGAGGGTTTTTTGGACAACCCTCGTAGTGTCATCATACTCATTGTTTTAAATCACAGTTTGAAAAATACAAATATGCAATATATGGTAAAAACAACAACAACAGAACACAAATATACTCGAGGCATATTTGACATTATGCTTATTTTTAATCATAAAACATTAATGGAGCCATTCAACATGGAGATAATGGTTTCAAGTCCTACTGATTGGTTCAACTTCAAGCCCTTTTGGTTTTACAGAGATAATGGGCTTAAGCCCTTCTGGTTTTACAGAGATAATGGTTACAAGCCCTACAGGTTTAAGAGAAATAATGGGTCCAAGCCTAGAGATAATGGGTCCAAGTCCTACTGGTTTTACAGAGATAATGGGTCTAAATCCTACTGGTTTCACAGAGATAATGGGTCCAAGCCCTACTGGTTTCACAGATATAATGGGCCACAGCCCTACTGGTTTCACAGATATAACGGGTTCAAGCCCTACTGGTTTCACAGAGATAATGGGTTAAAATTCCACTGGTTCCACAGAGATAAGGGGTCCAAATCCTACTGGTTTCACAGATATAATGGGCCACAGCCCTACTGGTTTCACAGATAAAATGGGCCACAGCCCTACTGGTTTCACAGAGATAATGGGCCACAGCCCTACTGGTTTCACAGAGATAATGGGCCACAGCCCTACTGGTTTCACAGATATAATGGTTCAAGCCCTACTGGTTTCACAGAGATAATGGGTTAAACTCCTACTGGTTCCACAGAGATAATGGGTCCAAATCCTACTGGTTTCACAGATATAATGGGCCACAGCCCTACTGGTTTCACAGATATAATGGGCCACAGCCCTACTGGTTTCACAGAAATAATGGGTTCAAGCCCCACTGGTTTCACAGAGATAATGGGTTCAACTCCTACTGGTTCCACAGAGATAATGGGTCCAAATCCTACTGGTTTCATAGATATAATGGGTCCAAGCCCTACTGGTTTCACAGATAAAATGGGCCACAGCCCTACTGGTTTCACATAAATAATGGGTTCAAGTCCTACAAGCTGCACAGAGATAATGGGTCACAGCCCTACAAGCTGCACAGAGATAATGGGTCACAGCCCTACTATTGCCCTACGTAAGTTTTTCATATTTATACCCTCAAAAGTGACAATGGACAGTTCCAAAAATAGAAGCTGGACAAGTCCATTTAGGAAATTTAGCAGGTCAAGGGTCAAATGCCTTTATTTAGCCAATTTAGCAGACCACAAATGCTCATCTGAAGTCAATGTGTGTTCTTTATAGAGGGTAGTAAAACAGGATTATATTGTTTTAATAGTTGCTTTGGAAAGTGTTTGCAATCTCAAAATATTTGTATATACATCATTAAATGATTATGATATTAAATGGCATTGTGTATAAAACATAGATTATCAATTAGCATTGACAACTCAACAATTATATATGCATTTAATTATATGCCATATGTAAATAAAAAGTGATTTTACCTATAACATTTTCTTTCAATCTATTCAGAGCTGGTTTATCAGCTTTCCTGCCATGTTACACAGTTTTCCTGTCATGTTACACAGTTTTCCTGTCATGTAACAGTTTGCCTGTCATGTAACATAGTTTTCCTGTCATGTTTCAGTTTCCCTGTCATTTTACACAGATTTCCTGTCATGTTACACAGTTTTCCTGTCATGTTACACAGTTATCCTGTCATGTTACACAGTTTTCCTATCATGTGACACAGTTTTCCTGTCATGTTCCACAGTTTTCCCGTCATGTTACAGTTTTCCTGTCATATTACACAGATTTCCTGTCATGTTACAGTTTTCCTGTCATGTTACACAGTTTTCCTGTCATGTTACAGGTTTCCTGTCCTGTTACACAGTTTTCCTGTCATAAAACACAGTTTTCCTGTCATGTTACCAGTTTTCTTCATATTACACATTTCCTACACATGTTACAGTTTTCCTGTCATGTTACA